AATCCTGAGGGAAGGAGCTGAGGATGGGCCCGGGGAAGGTGACAACCACGGGGGGTGGCTGGATCACAGTGGTGGAGTCGGGGCACTGGCGCACACAGGGCTCGTTGCCGCTCTCAGCCAGGGGCTGGGGGCGGAGGACGCCGCAGGCAGAGCTGGGGGACAGGTCGTAGCAGGACATCTCGCAGTGGGATGGGAGTGAATCTGTGAAAAGTGTTCATTTATTAACATTACAGAGGCATCAAACATTAGGTTGGGCTGGAACAGTCCAACAGGGTATCAGGGAGAAATCTGGGAAGCATTTCCTATTGCTTTTCTTCCTATCACCAAAAATCCCTAGGCCAGTCCTGACTCTGGTGCAACAAAGTCACGTTCTCTTCAATTTTACCCAACAAAGTCTTGCACTTTTCAGTCGAATCTTTGGAATTTCCAATTGGGATAATTTTGGCAGTATTACATTAGATGGTTTCTACTTGCTAAGTTTGCCCTTTGCTCTTACAAACCCAGCGATACTCCACCAAATGCAGCCACACACAACAATGTGTGTGACTTATTCTTTGCCTCCTAAAATATAGTCAAGGAGTTCTTTGAAGGGCTAAAATGCTGCAGATTTAAGATTCAAAACTACTTGATAGACTCCTCTCCTGGGACCTGTCTTTACAAGGCCTGCAGATGGATGAGAACTCAGAGATCATTTCCAGCAGCAAATATCCTACAGATATTTGAAAATAGCTTGAAAATAGCCTGAAAATAAGTAATTTGAAAGTAGCCTGAAAATAACCCGAGAGGACTTGGTCCTAAGTGACAACCCAGAGGTTTTGCCAGCAAATGTAGAGAAGTCTGAGAGAAAAAAAATCTGCCTTACCTGGTTCACAAGGGCAGATGAGCTGAGAGAAGTGGATGGAAAGACCTTGGTGCAGAGAGCTTTTATAGAACCCTGAGCTTGCCTGGAGGACCTTGGGCACCTGATGGGTGAGTTCATAATTAGGTCCCAACCCCAAATTGCAGGGCACATAATTCCCCAAAGTGCTGAAATTGTTTTTGCTCGCTGCTTGTGCTTTGCAGGCACTTCAAACCCAC